AGTGAGAATATGCGGTGTTTCATTTTCTGTTCTTGTGTCAGTTTGCTGAGGATGATGTTCTCCAGATTCATCCATGTCCCTACAAACGACACGAACTCATCATTTCTGATTGCTGCATAATATTTCATGGAGTATATGTGCCACATTTTTCCAATCCAGTCTATTATCAATGGGCATTTGGGTTGATTCCAGGTCTTTGCTATTGTAAACAGTGCTGCAATGAACATTCGTGTACATGTGTCCTCACAGTAGAACGATTTATAGTCTTTTGGATATATACCCAGTAATGGGATTGCTGGGTCAAATGGAATTTCTATTTCTAAGGCCTTGAGGAATCGCCACACTGTCTTCCACAATGGTTGAACTAATTTACACTTGAAAGTATTTAAAAAGTACTAATGGTAACAAATTTATTGAATCTTTGGGGCAGTCTTCACATGAGTAATTTAATCACCCGAAGAGTTGTGGAAGACTGGTTCAAATGAATAACTCATTTGTATAGGAGGAAACTGATACCTAGAGAGAGAATGTAACTGATTCAAGTTCATACAACTTACAAGTAACAAAGTGACGACATTAGCAAGGCAATCTTGATTAGCAAAATCTTGATTTTCATTATTTTTAAATAAGAGTAATACATGTACATATAAGATTTCAAACAGTACAGAATGATAAAAATGGCAGAATATGGAGCCCCCTTTCCCACCACTCTAGTTCCTTCTCCCCAGAAACCAATATTTATATTAATAGCTTCTTACATTTCTCTTGAAATATTATACTATACACTCATTTTCTCTGTCTCTATCTCTATGTAGATATGTATCCTCATGATTATCAAATAACACATACAGTGATATACCTTTCTCTTAATATGATTGGATGAACTGATCTGTCATATATTATATAATTGCCATATTGAATTCTGATGTATGATTGGGCCTAATTATCTTTTTTTATTAATGAAATTTTTGTTTGTTTATATCATTAATATTCTCATATTTTGCTATTTGCAAAATACACTGGAATAAACAAGTGTTCATTTTATTTATATTTACTGTAAATTGTGACACTGTTACTGAAATATAAGGGTTGAGATGACATAGTTCCTATAGCTAACTACCTTTAAAATATTTCAGCAGCAACAAAAAAACCTCTTCCACATGTGCAAAATCCTGGTAATTAACTTATCTAGGTAAAGAGTATTTGAAGGTTCATTATAAATGATATTTTAATGTTTGTGTATATTTATAATTTTTATAATAATTTTGTCAAAAGTTACTTTTTAATGACACATTTGACTTTTAGTGAAGGATCTAAGCTTTCCACACATTCTTTTTTTCTCCTTAATAGTATAAGAATTTCAAACGTGGACATGCTAAAGTATTTCTAGAGGAGGATGTAAGTGACGTGAATGAAAATGTTAGGGACCCTACATTTTATGTGGAATGAAAGCTGAAAGGGATTTATATAAAGAAGTGTGATAACAGAGGGCAGATTCTTGAAACGAGGTAATGTCATTTTAATAAGGACCATATTTGTCCAGGGATATTTTGAAAGAAACTGGTGATAAGGAGGAGGATGAGGAGAAATTGTCATTAGTGCAAACATTTCAAAGAAAGAAAACATATTACTTCTTTGGAGATATTCTCTCTCTCTCTCTCTCTCTCTCTCTCTCTCTCCTCCTCCTCCTCCTCCTCTCCCTCTCTCTTTGTCCCTCTCCATAAGGCTCTATTTATCTATTCATCATCTCTGCATCTGTGTCTTTGGCCATATTCATACCTCTACTGATATCTATACTTGTATCTACAAGCTGGTCTTAGCCTGCTCATCATGGTAACATATGGCAGATACATTACCCTGTGCGTAAAGATTTGAGAACTGATAAGAGATTTATGTATACCTGTTAATATCTCAAATATCACTACTTATATCTCAAATCTTTATACACACTCCTTCTCTGACATCATGATTAAGGGAAATAATGTGCTCTTATGTTTTTAAGAATTGAGCCCAGTGGGGACATCTATTTTTCTCATTATAAGATTCCACAGATTGTAGCAACAATGGCACCATCACAACTTCTAAACTCCTGATGGTAGACTTGCTTCTGTGACTTAATGGATTACTAGCCCTCCAGTGGGAACCACACACCTGAAGGCCAAGAGGAACATGCAAAGGCAAACAGAGACACTAAAGAGCTCATCAGTCATGAGAAGACGGCAGGAAATGGCGCTGTTCCTGTTGCAATTATTCCGACAGGGTAGGACTGAAATACGATAGAAACTCACTTGACATACTCTACAGACCAATTTATATTTTATTATTATTATTATTGTTTTGTAATGTAGAAAACATCTATACCTAAAAATCTGTGAGATTAACAGATTTTATAACTAAGATAATAGATAAAATATAATAGATACAGTAAAAACATAGAAGTACTCCTCATCCATTTCAGAAGCCCAATCAGTTTCAATTTATTCCAAATCTCTTCCTTCTTCAACAAAACACTATATTATCCTCATCCTTCCAGCTTCCCTTCCCACTGCTTTCAGGGTTCAAGGTTAGTCTTCATGGCCCATACCTGTTCCTATTTGTTTTAAGTAAAGTCTTAATAAGTTCTTCCTATTGGGTGGTAATAAGAGATATTCAATAAGCTAAAATATCTAATGTTAATCAGTGAACAATGAAGCATGGTAGAGGTTTTTACTTTAATAACAGAAATTATTAATTATACATCATAGTCCAAAGGCTCTACTTTAATATTTTCTGCTAACAAAAAAAAAACCTAGTGGTGTACAAAATCCCACAGATTTGACACGAGAACCTTTGGCAGGTAGTAAGCCCCCAGTAGTTCAGTGGCTAAAGTGGTCTTTAAGTACCTAAGTTTTATCTTTATTAATGTGAAAGTTTTCTGGCTAGACAGTTAACAGCTGAGTGCATTTTGAGTAAAATACTACAGGAAATGGCTGATAAAAATATCAATGTTCTATATCTGCTTAAAGGAGATACATATCTGTTCTTTCTCAAACCACTGTTAAGCTGTCACCCATATACTTATCGTAGAAACAATGACCTCACATTAGTTTTATCTCTAGACATTTTTCTGCCCAGACAAAAGAATCTATGGAAGTAGTAATTTCTCGAGTTTGTTTTAGGGAGGATTGTGTTGGTTCTCCTAAGAGAAATCACTTGCACGTGACCTTAAAGTCTACAAACACATGGATGTACTTGCTATACAGAGTCCATTTCCTACCACAGCAAGGTATAGCTTCAAATGGCTAAAGCCAAATAAACCAAATGGCAAGAACTTGATGGTAAACTTCGTCAGAATATTGGTTCTCTCATCTTTATGAATCTGTCAAGGGCAGGCTTTTCGTAAACTAATAGGTTTGTATATGTTCTAATTATGCAAGGAAATGGAGCCTGTCTCAGTGTTCAAGTGGTTAGAGAGAAACATTTGGTTGGAGAAGAAGGAAGAATATGGTAAGTGAATAAGACACTGAAAAAGTCTGCTGTGTTATATGGTGGTGGGCAGCGATTGTGAGAATAAGTACTAAATGGCCATGCAAACAGAAAGAAATGGAATTGTAATATAAAGTCACAAATATAATTTGTTGATTGACTTACATGGATTGAAAATTTGGTATACTGGATTTTACAGGTTTAGTGAATAATACCACTCTTTTGAATTTTTTGTACAACATCTGGCTACAAAATTTTAAAGAACTCTTTATGAAAGTCAAATTCATATTTAAAGTGACAAAGAGTCCTAAGAATTTTGAACATCACACTTACTTCGTAAGTCAATTGTTTTTCTCATTAACAAAAAAAGGAAATAAAAAAGCAAAACCAAAAAACAAATAACCCAATTAAAACAATGAGTAAAATATCAGAATTGATATTAATCAAAAGAAGACATGCAGATGAATAGTAGATATATGAAAAAATGTTCACCATCACTAATCAAAAATCAAAAACACAATGAGATATTACATCACAGTTAGAATGGCAATTCTCCAAAAGACAAAAGATAACGTGTTTGTGAGGATGTGGAGAAGGGAGAACCTTTGAACACTGTTGGTGTGTTTGTGAATTAGTATAGTCTTTGTGAAAAACAGTATGGAGATTTCTCACGAAAATAAAAACAGAACTATCATTTGATCCAACAATCCCACTTTTGGGTAGATATCTAAAGAAAATGAAATTAGTATGTCCAACAAACGTCTGCACATTTATGTTTATGGCAGCATTATTCACAATAGCCAAGATATGAAATCAACCTAAATGTACATCAAAGGAAAAATGGTATATATACACAATGCAAGACTATTCAACCATAAAAAAGAATGAAATCTTGTGACAACATGGATGAACCTGGAAGGCATTATGTTAAGTAAAGTGAGCTAAACACAGGAAAACAAATACTGCATGATTTCACTCATGTGGAATCCAAAATCATCGGTCACATGGAGGTAGAGAGTACAGTGGTAGCTATCAGAGGCTGAGTGTTTAGTGGAGAAACAGGATAAAGAGATGTTTCTCAGAGGATACATTTTCATTTAGACAGAAGAGATGAATTTCAAGAGATCTATTATACAGCAAGGTGACTCTAGTTAGTGAAAATATTATTCCATTCTTGGAAAATGTAGAATAGATGTAATGTGCCGTCACAACAATTGTGACTGTATGAGGCGATGCACTTGTGAATTAGCTAGATTTAACAAGTCAATAATGACATATACTTTACAACATCATGTTGTTCTTGATAAAAATAAATAATGTTATCTGTCAATTAAAAAATAAAGTATCTAAGAAGAATCTGTATAAAAGATTGTGGGTATTTATGAAATGTATATTTACTTTGTAAGTTGCCAAATTTGTGAATAACATTATTGGGTTTATTTTGCTTAATAGAATAGAATAAAGTATAATTAAAGATTTAAAGTGATCTTTTTAGACCTTGAGATTTTATAAATATAGGTGAGTTGCTAGTTTGCTTACCCTAAATATCTATTTTCTGCCCCAGAAATAAGACTTTTATAGAACATTTTACCTTTCCATAACTTCCATCACCAAAATTGGCAATTTAAAATATTTTCATGAAGAAAAACCATATTGATATGTGTGTATTATTAGCAAGAAAGCCAAATTTAGATTTATGTGACTGAGAGTCTTTTCACTCATTAGTGATGTAATTGACTTCTCCACACCATCCTAGACGAGAAGAAACTCATGTTCATATATCAACAAAATGACACATCATTACACATTAACTCACTGTGGTGGGTTCTGATCAAGTGAAGCAGCAAATGCTTAATCTGTCTATTGGCTTTCTATTCTACCTGGTCTTAAAACTAGTAAGGTAGAGTTCCTGCCATTTGATATAAGAAAAGGTTTTCAACGTTCTTCTGTCTCTCCCAACTAGAATTCCCAAATATATTTGTTGGTGGTTCTTCCAATGTAGCCCAAGGAAAATGTGTTTTATTAGCTTGGTATTTCATTTGCGAAGACTGGCATTTGTCTCTTATTAGTAGATACAGGAGACATGAAGAACCCCTGAATTCCTACATAGCTGTCAAGAAGTAAGTGAACTGATTTGACAGTTATTCCAATCACTCACTGGAAAAACAGTTTTTCTGAGAATCAAGTACTGTTAACTCTGTTTCAATCCTCAGAACAATTCCTGCCAAACTTTTTATGAGAGGTAATGCCATGAGAAAGCACAATCTATGAAAATGAATTGAAGTTACAAACCAGTCCACACCACATGATTTGCATAGTACAAGCTTCATTGATGATCACTATCTACCATACCTTAGAGATGGGATTTAGACAATATTCATCTCTGGAGATTGTATGCTAAGGTCTGGCACAACTCTTTACACAGTGGTACTCAAAGCTAGCACTTGCATTAGTATTATCTGAGAATTAAAAAATAATAAGAATAAAGCAATGAAGTGATAGAATAACATTCCTCTTTATGTGAAATTCCTGCTAATATATTGTACAGCATGTTGGGATGGGGACCACACCTGCTTTTTACTCACCATTATTGCCCAACAATGGAATGGAATGCAGTGCCTGACCCTACATATATGTTGAATAAATGAACTGCTGTGATCCTCCCACTGCATCACCGCAAGTACCTTCAGACCCCAGAGCTGATACAGACTGATCTGGTTTGGCTGTGTCGTCACCCAAATATCGTCTTGAATTGTAATCCCCACGTCAAAGAAGGGACCTAATGGGAGGTGACTGGATCATGAGGGCAGTTTCCCCCAGGCTGTTCTCATGATAATGAGTGAGTTCCCACAGATATGACGGTTTTATATGCATCTGGCCTTTCTCTTCTTGTACTTCTCTATCCTTCCGCCATGTGAAGAGGTCCTTGCTTCCTCTTTATCTTTTGTCATGAGTATGAGTTTCCTGCAGCCTCCCCAGCCATATGGAACTGTGAGTCAATTAAACCTCTTTTCTTTATAAAATACCCAATCTTGAGGGTAATAGCTGTGTGAAAACGGACTAATACACAGACAAAGCCTCAAGGAAAGAAAAGTACATTGTAAAATATCAAAATATCTCAGTAATAAGTCTTTTTCAGAGGAAACGTGGCTTGATCATGTTTGTTCATTGAGAACCCCTCGATTTGGTTTGCATCTTGCTTCAAGTGGTTTTAGAAATTCCAACTATTATTGAGCCATTTGCATATTGAATTACTTTTTAAAAATCTTTATAGTGAAGGTGAATCTGGTAATAATATATAACTACATTATGCTAACCACTTTAATGTTCTAGATGTATTTTATAAGAAATTTATTCTGAATATTCTGAGTAATCTCGAGGCTGGGAAACATTAGCATATGCAAAGATGTGTATCTGTTATAGTTTTCTAATTTAAAGAGAATATATATTTTGAAAAAAAGTTTTATTCTGATAAAATTATGAAAAAAACATTGTTTAGAAAATGCAACTAATCTCAAAATTTAAAATAAATAACAACCAATTGTCATAGTGCTCTTGTATTATCCATTCATAAAATTGATTGCAATATGTTAGTACTGGCAGCTTAGGATAACACTTTTCCCCCAAAAAAGCAAAAATATGTTTTTTAATTTATTTATTTTAAAATTTTATATACAGATTAAGTAAAAATTTTAGTAACGAGCTTACAGATTTTGTATTATCATGCGATTTGGTTTTCTAACTGGGCTCAGAAAGAGAGGTATTTATCAGCTGAGATTGCCGGCTGCAACCTTGATGTTTTCACCCTCTTGCTACAGGGAGCTTGGGAGAATATGTAAGACTAGTCTGTTTAATTTAGTTTTATAATCTCATTGTTTCTGGCAATTTAAGACATAGAAAGGTAACTTTTCTTTATTAAAATAAACTTTTGGTATTTGGATTGCAGGATAATGAATACCCAGACAGGTAGTATGTGGTGATGGGTAGTGCATGAACTATAGAATTCACAGACCTTGGCTTAGATTTCAGATTTTCCAATTAGTACCTATGTCAGCTAGGGCAAATTGCCTTATTTCTTTAAACTCAATTTATTGATGTGGAAAAAGGGGCAATAAATCCTATCATTCATAGCTGTAATGAGCAGTAAAGTATATGAATATGTAAAAATGACTAGGCTAGTCCCTGACTATGGGACATAGCATTTATTTCCATGTGCACTTTGTGTGAGGGAGTGTAACAGTCATTTTATGTATTATCATACTGCAAATATAAATATGGACACAAACACGCATACATCCTTGCCATTCACATAGTACATTCCCATATACACACATAACCATTTGTTAAAATGTGATCATGGGATTAGGACTTAATAAAATTGATTTATAAGAGTGAAAAGCATAGACTTTGCAGACAGACACACACGAGTTGGAATTCTGATTCTACTTATTTCCTGTCCTCTCTTGAGCAAGTCGCTCAACATTTTCAGTCTCTTTCCTATTCATATAGATGTGCCTATCTATATCACAGACTTGTGATGCCTGTTAAACGAGATGTATGAAAACACTGTCACAATGTCCAATAAAAAGACAGTATTCAATAAATGGTCATTGTTCTTTGCAGACCTCTTTAAAAATATACTAAATTTAAAACATTGCATCAGAGTGTCTTACTGGATAAAATGATCATAATTGTACAGGTGGGTGAAGATCAGTGAATAGAAGTCAAGAAGTTTTGCTTCAACTTTTTTTTTTTGAGACGGAGTTTCGCTCTTGTTACCCAGGCTGGAGTGCAATGGCGCGATCTCGGCTCACCACAACCTCCGCCTCCTGGGTTCAGGAAATTCTCTTGCCTCAGCCTCCTGAGTAGCTGGGATTACAGGCATGCACCACCATGCCCAGCTAATTTTTTGTATTTTTAGTAGAGACGGGGTTTCACCACGTTGACCACGATGGTCTCGATCTTTTGACCTCGTGATCCACCCGCCTCGGCCTCCCAAAGTGCTGGGATTACAGGCTTGAGCCACCGCGCCCGACGCTTCAACTTCTTGACTTTGAAATTTAAGCCTCCTCATCTAGTTTGTTTTAAAAACGTTTCTAACTGAATTATGCTTTGTATGTCATCATACCTCATTCTAACCCAGCTCCCTCAAACTTTATCTGTGTGAACTCTGGGGAGAACATAACCTCTATGAATAAGTTGGCATGCTTGAACATTCTTTGAATAAGTAGAAAATGCTGCTTTTTCATTTTATTGACACAAAGTTTATCACAATGGCTTATACTTCTGTTCTTAATGCAAGTTACAGGTATTAACCTCTAAAACTGAATAATGTTGACCAATTTAATGATTATCTGTAATAAGGGGAATTTACAAATGTTTTGCACTAATTACAGTTTGTAAAGTTATTAAACTTCCTTTTATACTTAGACGATCATTTTCAATTTTTATTGACAATGCAGCTTTGGTTAAAGTAAGTTCTTGAGCACCTTGGTCAAAGCAGCTGTGGTACAGAGAACAGGAACCATCACGCGCAGTAGCAAGATTTCAGCTAAGGTTCTTGGCTCCAAGTGATAAAAATTTAAAGCAGGAAAATAATCTATTAGCAGGCTATTGAATAGAGGGCAGAGACAAATGAAAGGCTCTAAAACGGGGCAGAGTGAAGAAGGAAAGACAACAAAGGCATTAACCTGTAGCACTTCTGAATGGGGGCTCTGGAGGTGAACTGTCTAGTTCCGAATCTTCTCCCCAACACTCCCTAGAGCTTTGAGCCCTTGGGCAAGTGATTTAACATTTCTACATCCCAGTATTCAGGTCTTCAAAATCAGACTACCCGTTCAGTAAACTGAGTGAACACATGAAAGGCACATAATAATTCTTTAAAAATATTCAGAAAAAAATAAACGTGTCCAGAACAATGACCATCACATTATACACCATGGGCTCCAGTGCACATGGTTGCTGTATAACCAGTCTCACTGTCCTTTTGAATTTTCATACCTCCACAAGGTTCCTGACCTGTATTGGATTTTGCCTTGGTTGAGAGATCAGAAGGGATGAAATTTCTTCACTTTTCCTCTGAGTGAAAAGTACAATTCCCTGAAACTGAGAAGGGGAGGGACTTTAATATTAAACAGCCAAGCATTTTGAAAATGTCCACTACAGTTAGAATAACCATATATCCTAGCTACCTTGAGACAGTCCCAGTTTACAACTGATATCCCACATGGTTAAACACACCTCGTGGCAGAAGTGTCACAAGTTGGATGATAAATTATGGTCTCCCTGAGTGTCATTCACTCCCTTTTGCTGCTGCTAAAAATGTGCATATATTCTTATACTTATTGGTCCAAGGAGAAAAGATCTCACTAACAAAATTAAATTTTCATTTATAAAAACAATAATGCATTTATTCTTTTTAGCAAATGAAACAAAAACACAACAAGAAACAAACAGAAATTCCAAAGTACGATTATTCTGTTATCTCTAAGTCTTGGATTTCTGTGGTCAATCTTCTCTGAGTGCAATTTTTTTAAATCCTGTCTCAGTATTTCATCACCTACAGATTAAATTAACATTATCACCACCACAATACCCTACATACTATATCTATTTATATACATGTATATAAATATATACATAAATTTGCATATATGCATACATATCTGTATGTATATAGATAGATGTAGGTATATGAAAATTATATCTGTATAGGGTAGGTCTCCATTACCTCAAAGACACATTGCAAGAACCTCAGTGGATGCCTGAAACATAGATGTTGCTGAACCCCATATACACTATGTATAATTTTTTTCTATGTCACAATTTCACAGATAGATTCATTTTACTGTATATCTTAGCAATCTCAGCATATGATTTTTCCCCTTTATTAGGTCAAGAACTTTCATCATTTTACTTAACGGAAGCACTTCACAGCTTGTCTTTGGCCTAGCCAAATGGCCAGTATCAGTGCTTTTGCGCTTTGGGGCCGTTTTTAAGTCAAATAAGAATGACTTGAACACAAGCACTGCCATAGTCAATGTGATAAGCTGAGCTGGCTAATAAGTGACTAATGGGTGGGGAGCAGAGACAGCCCGGAGACCCTGGACAGAGGAATGATTCATCCTGGGTTTGATGGAGAGCAACAGCACACAACTTCATCACGATACTCAGAACAGCACACAATTTAAAACTCATGTATTGTTTATTTCTGAAATTTTCCACTAAATTTTTTTGGACCATGGTTTACTGCAGGTCATTGAAACCTCAGAAAGCAAAACTTTGGATAAGGAGGAACTACTCTGTGTGTCTACATGCTTAAGTAGAAATAGTATCTCTTTCACACACACACATACGCATACAGGAAAGGAAGATAAGACATGTGGATTCTAGTTTCCTCATTTCTATACTTGATTATGAGGCCAAATTGGATATTAATGACTTGCCTCCTTCATTACCCAATACACACTTCCTCTGCTTTCAGGGCACACTTCAGTAACATGCTAGCATTTTCATGCCTAAAGAGTCTGAGGGTTTTTCTTTTTTCATACAGAATGAAAAGAGTCATTCATTAACTTTCAGGTAATGAACATGGTAGCTCTATACGCCACACAGAATGCTGATCTTGAAAGGTGTTGCTTCCCATCTGGCATTATAGTAAGTTTTCCATGAATCATCCCATATTCCACAAGGGGCACACAGTAAGAGTCTTGCATCCTTTGGGAATAAGCCCAATGCCTAACATCTTCTGAATTATATTCTTTGTTTAGTAGCAATGATACACAAAGTGTTGTGATTATAGTGTTTATTGAATATATCTGAAGAAGGTAGAGACAGCAAAGGCAGACACAGAAGAAAAATACATCAATTTTTCAACAGCAGCTGTTCTATTGAAGGTAAATCACTGCACTCTCCATGATTCAAGAAATCAGCTCACCCCCCAGTAGTTAGTTGTTCTAATCAGCCTTGCTGCTCTATGAAGGCCTCCAGGCTAGGCTCAGTATGAATGAATGAGAAGCTCAGAGGTGCTATTAGCTTGGCAACCTGTCCATTTACCATGTCCTAGGCATGTCTCTATCCATGAGACTTAACAAGCAGAGACACACAATGGCCAAGGGAAGAGAGATTTTATCACAGAGCCTGATGCCATACTGCTTAGAAGGAGAAGGAGCTAGACAAGTGACCGTGTATCAATTCTTGGGCCCTGGCCCTTGGGTTGTCTTGATGATCAGGAATTTGGAAGGAAGACAACTGAAATATTGATGACAAAAAATCTGGAGAAGAGATATGTGGCTAGAATTCTCAGAAAGAACAAAAAACTGGACGATGTTCTTGGATGCTTACAAAAGGATAACCTTAGAAGGGGAGTATTGTAATAACTAAAACAATAGGATAACTTGTTTTGTGGGTGCCACTCAGCCTCTTTACTCAGTCACCCCTGTCATCTCCCATTGGGCCCATGACTAAAATAGCTGTTGTGTCAGAGATGGGGGTTATGCATGGACTTAGCTACATGGACTTCTACTCACCAAGGCTGCCTTGCTATTATCAATCTACCGGTTGTAAAAACCAACACTGTGCCCCCAATGTGGTACTATTCCCCAGGGGACCAGGCATCTACCTGATGGCAGGTAGATCACATTGGGCAGCTTCCACTTCCACGGAAGGGCAGTATTTTGTTTCTACTGGATACGACTTTGGATGTGGATGTGTCTTTCCTGAACGCAATGCTTCTGCCAAACATGAACTTACAGACTGCCTTATGTGCTGTCATGGTATTCCTCACAGCATGGCTTCTGATCAAGGGACTCACTTCATAGAAAAAGGAGTGTGTCAGTGGGCTATGCTCATGGGATTCACTGGTTTTATCATGTTCCTCACCGTCCTGAAGCAGCTGGCTTGATAGAATGGTAGAATGACCTTTTGAAGACAGGTATAGCCCCAGCTAGGCAACAATATGTCACAGGGCAGGGGCAAGGTATTTTAGATGGCTGTATATGCTTTAAAATAAGTATCCGATATATGGTGTCAATAATTTGTATCCAAATTCACCTTCTTCACATATGTATTATCAATAGAAAATAGCTTAGTTTGTCAGTCTATCTTGGGTCAAAGTTTACCAAAAAGCTTTTTATGAATTTTAGTTTCAAAAATTTTTATCTTATGTAGTAGCATATATACATTTATGTAGTAAGAAATTCTATAGTAAAGAAAATCTTAGATATATGGCTAAGTTTGGCAGAATGTCATAAAGATCACATTACACAACAAATGCCAGAAATTGTGTCCATAATTTTGTTTCTTTGAGACTGATTCCACTGGCTTTCAAGTATTGCTACAGTGAAAAAAAATTAAAACAAAAATAAAAACTCAAAATAATCACAAAGAATGAATAAATTTATGGCATTCAAGTTCTGTTTCTTCATCTTTATAATCATGGTGTTATAATTGTTTATTTCACATCAACTGCTCAAACACAGGCATACATAGCACCAGAAAATATAGATACAGGAATTTCACTGATGTCAAGCCTAAACAATCCCAAATCTCTATGAAGCTTTTTTTTGAAATAAATGCATGTAACTGAGTCTGTGTTTGTCAGAGCCATTTGTAAAACTGGAGGTTCTCTAATTTGACATCCATATAAAATGCAATATTTATAAAACAACTTGTAACAAATGTATGTGCATTTGATGTTACACATATACACAATTAAATTCAAGAGAAGCAAAGTATTTTTTTAGCACTTAGACCAATAAAATATTTTTGGGCCTGGTGCGGTGGCACACACCTGTGATCCCAGCACTTTGGGAGGCCAAGGCAGGTGGATCACCTGAGGTCAGAGTTCGCAATCAGCCTGACTAATATGGTGAAATCCAGTCTCTACTAAATACAAAAAATTAGCCAGGCATGGTGGTGCATGCTTGTAATCTGAGCTACTCAGGAGGCTGAGACGGGAGAATTGCTTGTACCTGAGAGGTTACAGTAAGCCAAGACCATACCATTGCACTCCAGCCTGGGTGACAAGAGTGAAACTCCATCTCAAAATATACATAAAATATACATACATACATACATATATACATATACATATACATATATATATATTTGGAGAAAGGACTTGTAATCATAAACTGGGGGGACTATCCATGGGCAAACCATTAACCAGATTCAGGACAACATCGTTGTCCTCTGAATTCCAGGTAATTCCACTTTGATACTTAAATGGCAGACAGACTCTCGGTTTTCAAATTCCATAAGCCTGTTATCTAACTTATTTTCATTTCACCAGTGCACAGCTCCTCTTATGTATGGATGTAGGTGCAGGCTGAAAAAAAACTATAGAAATAACATTTGATATTTTCGGAGTCTGTTTATGGAAGTACCTACCTACCATCTTTTTATTGAAAGAATTTTGAAGAGGTGAATTGACTCAAATTTGGGAATTGTGTGAGAAGCAAAACTCTATTTTGGAGGTTTCAATTAGGTCCATATGCACGAGAATGTGAATACTTTTAAAAAACAGAAACAGAATAGTGCCTATGTGAGCTGGCATTAATTGTGGTCCTTGGAAATCCCAGGCCTATTTACAATAACCGTAATCCATGAGTCATTTAATTCTGATGGCTCCAATGGCTTTGATGTTCATTAGGGACAAGAGACCCCTTTGCCTTCCCTGGAGAAGTGCTGTGTTTGGGGTTCTAACAACATATACATTCCCCATCCCAGTGTTTTTATGGAGACCAATTCAGTGCACTATCTTCCGTCGCATCACCTACTTACATTGGTTACCTAAGAATTTGGGAGATTCAATTAGTGAATTTTATCCAGATAACAATCTTGACAAATGCTGTAGCATATGCACACTCCAAAGTGTTTCCCTCTTTCTAAAATCCAATGGATTCCTGGGACTGAGTCTCTCATAGTGCCTTTACTGGGCCTAAATTTTAGCCAATAAGCTTATCAAACAGCTAGAAACACGTTCAACTCTTCAAGCTTACCTGCTTTATCCACACTCTTTGAGTAAGTGTCCACTTTGAAATTCACCCCAGTGCAATCTTTCATCTTGGTTAGTTGTACACCTTCAGAACCCATTCCTAAGAAATTCTTGCAAATATTGTTAACATAAATGTCTTGCAATTCTGTTATGTCATTCTGTCTGAGTATATTCGACCCCTATTTAATGCTTAGCTCCGGTTCAAGTTCTAGGATTGCAGGCAGTGAAGACTTGGTAAGTAGGGAAGAGGATGAGAATTATATTTTCAGTCAGAGATGACTTCCTCACGTGTGAAGGCTACTAAGACAGGTTTGAAAATGGGCTTATATGTACGTTTCTGAATATCCTAATAATTTTTGCTTGCTTACATTAGCAAAAATCATTTAAGTTGCTGTTTAAAATGTGAAGCATTAAACAGAAAAAAATTGAAAACTAATTAATGAAATGCGTGTGTGTAGGCGGATTTCAAAAATGCGGGGCATCTGACCACTGAATCCCGCCTTGCCAGTACATCACTGTGGCCGGATTTAGTCACAGTTGCTGGACTACTGCGACATTGGGTGCCATTCCCAGACTTTCTTCTTTCCACCATCCACCCCAGTTTTAGTATCCCTGGCAGTATGCTATGTTCAACCGATTTGGGGATGTATGATTCTATTTTGACACCAAAAGGCTTAGCAAACAGTAAACCGCACACTCTGGCTTTTGTAGGGAGAAGTAGAACTCTGTGTAGTACAGTCTTATGCAAAAGTGGAAAGCAGTGTGGAAGGATTGGCAGAACAAAACAATGAAAAGTTACAGACATTTATACACAGCCAGAGAATGTTATTATAAGTCAATACTATAGATTTTTAAAATCTCCCATCTCCAAGACAATTTGGACAATAGTAACTATCTTATCAAATTCTTTTTTTAGATGAATTAAGATGAATTATCTTATTTATCGAATATTGAGTATAGATTTATTCCACACTTCTTTTCATTATTTTCAGCTTTTCAAAAAATTCTGCATTTGTAACAACTTCCTCAATATGTAAATGTAATAAACCCTCAATACTTAACATCTTACTCTAAAGTATCTACCATCTTACTCTAAAGTCATTTAGAAACCACATGCATTATTGCTATAGTTTTAAAACATTAGTATTTATGTTATCCTAATGTATTATCGTAATTGTATAGATTTTTTTCACTACTTTTGGAAGGATAAACTATTGTTTCATAGATGCAATAGATTCTGGAAACTTGTTTAGAAATATTTTTAAAAGCAATTTTCAAAATTTCTCATCTGTTACACAGGAGATGCAACGTAATGAGTACTATTTCCTCTGATTTCTTTCAGGTGTGTTTCTTTTGACTGTATTTTCATCAGTCTCGTCATTTTCCATTTGTGCTGGGACTTTTGCCTGCGGAAGGTTTCCAAGTCTGGCTGCAATTTGGTTACCTTGAAGGTATTTTAAAATATGCCGATTCACTAGTACCATTCCCAAACCAACTGAAACACATTTTTCAATGACATGGTCATGGTGCTAGTATTTAAAAAAGAATCTTCCTGATTTATTTTAATATACAACTTGGACATATTCACTGGTGTAGATAATACTGAATACAAATATATATATAAAATGACTCACTCCTTCTGTGAGAGAGCAATGTCCACAATTAAAAATAATTAATAATACCGTTAACTCAGAGGGATCAGACCAGGTGGAAAGCACAAATACACACTCTGCGTAATGAAGCTTATTTCCAGTGTCCAAATCTACAGCAAGCAGAAAAGGACACTCAGTGTGGTTTGCTCTCAGATGCACGGCTGGCACGGCTAGCCAAGCAGTGGGGCCTCCACCTAGAGGAACTGATCACAGGAAGGGGAAGTCTTGATTCCAACTTTGTTAGCTTTTCCTTTCACTTAGTAATGGTTTCAAGCTGAAAAGGATGACACAACATGTAAATGTCAACTATTTAAGAATAACATGTGCCAAGTATACTCTACGATTTGCTGTTAAGATTCATTTCACTTAATCATTTCCTACGTAGATCTCTATGAATTTAAGTTTCTGAATAACTGTAGGGTCAACAAGGTATTCGGTACCATCCTACTTTCAGCTTAGTTGGACCTCATGATTTGAAGGAGGACATTTTATGAAATTAAAATCCATCCCTGTTTATAGTGCATAGTTTTACAATACGACTGGTGACCTCTTTCTTGCATTCAGAATATAGTGCCAGAAAAAAATGTTCATTCCTTAATTAAATCATAATGATGAAACTGTTTTGATGTTGTAAGTTTTATGTTGCTATAAATAATTTCCTAAAGATAGTAAGGTATACTTACATAAGATTTATTCACTTCCATGATATTGTAGGCTGAACTTAAAAATAATTTGTGACTTTATTTGTATATGCATATATGATAAATGTGAATTATAATATTTATTTTGTTTTAATAAATATGTCTAGCTGTAATTTGATAGGCTGTTTGTGTAGATTTCATAATATTGTCTAGAATAATTTTTCTTTATTCTGATGCTTCTTAGTTATAGATATGGCCTGAGTTCTAAAGCACTATACACTCATGAAAGATTTCTAAGTCAATGTAAAATATTGTAATATGATGTCAGAATAAAATTTGTTTGAAAATAGAGATTTTCATGGTTTTTTCCCCAAATTAGAGTTTAGTCAATCTCATGATTTGTCAGACTTAACAAGTTATAGACTGAATATTTTAACATGAAAATAACTTCAATGCATATCCTTAGAATATAAATCAACTGTATATTCACTCAAAACACACAGAATATTCTACATGCCAAAACTGCATGTCTGTTTCCAATTTTCTAATACTACTTTCTCTCTCTCTCTTAGTTTACAAATATTTCTCAATATTTAACTTTTTACAACTGAATCATGTTGGGAAAATGAAGTCTTTGGGAAAATATTTATTACGATAATTTTTTATGTAGTTATTTAAAACATTTCTAACTCAGTAAAAAATAGTATATGGAAAGGTGATAGTTTAAAAAATTGTCAAGGTTAAGAATAAACAAAATATACTTTTTGACTTTTAACAATGTCTTAAGAAAATGTCTTCTCTTACAATTTAATCACATTTGATTAAACATTGACAGAACAGATATTGAATCATAGAATAACTTTCTAGTATACATTATGTATATGTTGCATTATTTATTTTTATGTATCCACTTTACGAAAGTAGGAATGTCCTGCTTAGTAGTATCAAGCTTCAGTAACATTAACACTTTCTTTTGTTAACACATTTCTGTAAACTGCATAATTATGTAATCAAGACTTATCTAACACCTGTTCATAATACTTTTGAGTTAAACCTAAAGATCATTTTGTTTGTTTGTTTTATCATTTTGAAAATAATACATAAGAGACACCACTCTGACTAATAATGCAAAACTATTTCAGAAATAGGAAATATCGCTTGTCACTGAAGATATGGAAATGATGGATGTGTTAGTTCATTAAGGTCCTTACTGTCTCAGCCCTGCTAGGACATTGCTCTTGATTTATTGTTATCTACTATTTATTCAATTTATTCTTGCTACTGCAAAGAATGCCAGTGGCATGAAGTTAGGGTATGCATGTCTGTGCTACTGTTTATTTACATTTTCAGACAATGTAAACAAATGGGAAACATTTCAGATCATGTAAGATCAAACTACTTTTCCTTTTTCCAATTCATTTATGTCAAGCTGTCATTTGTCTCCCACCTTCTAACATCTCTCTTCTATTTTGTTTTTCATTGTTTCATTTCTATTACCTTAGGTCTATCAGATCAATAAACTCTGGATGCCTTGACGTGATTTCCTGAAATTCTCAAGGAGACATAGGTTCCATTAAGATTTTTTTTCACATTACAAACTTGGTACAAGGGAGTTGCAGATGTAAACACATATACTGAAGTCCATGCATTTATAGTTTGTGTATATTAGCAGATAAACCACATAGGAAGTGGATTATATCAATAAGTTATTCCAGAAGACAAAAAGAAGAGTTCATATGTTACTTAGGTTCACAAACTGGACACAGGCTTCACCCATATTTTCATGCAAGATTGAGCCAGATGAATACAACTTCATATTCACCAGTTCTGCTTCCCATCTTCCTAGACCATGGAAATGGTTCTGGTAGCAATGTGTTGGCTGATCTGGCCTGCTACTAGTAATACCATGATACGTGGTGCAATGTCATGACTCAAACTCAGTTCAAAGACGGGAGCAAAGAGCTGAGAGACAGCTTGTGTTTCTTCTGCTTCTCAAATCCTAGAGTGCACTTACAGCACTGCTCTTCTGTGGGACTTTGTGTCCTCCTTTATCACCCTGCTGGTCCTACCATCCTCCTGGAACCTCACCCTAGAGCATGACTCTTTGTCTTTCATTTCACGTTTCAAAGAAAGATTTTAGATGGAACTCAACTATTTCTAAAATAATTTACAAAACAGAAAAACACTCATTGGACATTTTTGTAAACATCAATTTTGGTGTTTCTGATGGAATTTGTGTATGAAAAATAATAAGATGGAAGTGGTATAGTTTGGATATTTGTCTCCAGGCAGATTTCATATTGAATTGTAATCTTCAGTGCTGAATGTGGCCCCTGGTGGGAGGTTTTTAGGTCAAGGAGACCTGGTGCTGTCTTGGCAATAGTGAGTGAGTTCTCATTAGATCTGGTCATTAGAAATGTGTGCACCTCGCTCTCACTCTCTCTCTCCCTTGCTCCTGCTTTCTCCATGTGATGTACCTGCTCCCCTTTCACCTTCTACCATGACTGAGTGCTCCCTGAGGCTTCAACAGAAGTTGAGCAGATGCCAGCACCATGCTTTCTGCACAGCTTGCAGAACCATGAGTCAAGTAAACTTCTGTTCTTCATAAATTACCCAGTCTCGCATTTCTTTATATCAATGAGCAAATGATATAAAGAGAGAGAGATACCAATTTAATGCCATTCAACTAATAGTAACGGAGCACCTGCTTTGTGTTAGCAGATACCAATGTTGAGAATGATTATAAAACAAACATAATTTTCAAGAATCCTATAGTTTTGGGGTTGAGGTATGAGATGAAGGGAGAAAGCAAAGTATAAAAGCCTATTATGGCAAAGGTTGTACTCTAACTTAGAGTTAGAGTACAACCTCTGCCATAAAGGAAGTAGAATGTGATGAAATTTTAATGAAGGAAGAGGATGCATTAGACAGATGTATCAAAAGAAACAGTATAGTGGTGAATCTTTTAAGATCAATGACATTTCAAAAATTGAGATGTAATGAAAATTTAAATACAGTGATAATTGGTAGCATATGCTATTAATTAAAATTAATATTATCTCAAAGCATAAAGGCTGGAAAACATTTTGCAGGAAGCAGATTATTTTGCTAAAGATAATTAACCTGCAATTGCTTAAAGCTTAGACATTTTCAGTGAGTTTCACAAATCCTGCCTCCTGTAACACTCAGACCAACTCTGAAGCTATCCTAGCAGATAATGTGGCCCCTGATAAACTACAAAAAATGTGGCTGAGGTTGTTTGTGGGAGAGGGTTACCCCAAGGCACAAGGGTGCAACTTGTATCTGAAGCTTCTCATCTGGAATTGAGTCTAGAAGTACGAGGTGAGGCAACTGGAGGGAATTAAATCCAAAGCTAGGGATTTTTACCTAATTCAGGGGATTTTTAGGTATTTTTGAAGTTTTTTGAGCAAAGACATGAAATTATCAGGCTCACGTTTAAATATGTCAGAAACAGAGACAATCATGAATAGGTATAGAAAAGAATCAAACGGAGGATGAGAAATATTATAGATATCATTATAAAATGCTACACCAAGTCCAAAAGATGAGAGCTTTAGATAGGATTAAGTCCTATAGACTTCCTTCAAATAAAAAGTCTCTAGTTATAGATAGGGTTGATAGCATCGTGCATGAAAAAGATCTAGGGGTCTTAATGGACCAAAAGCTCAATATGAGACAACACAGTGCAGTGGCCCAAAATGCAAAAGTGAACAGAGCCAGCCTTGTCAGGAAGATGGTGCCAGTCAGGAGGAAGGCAACATTCTCACTATTCTACGAACTTAACAGACCACATCTACCACTTACGTTCACGTTTTAAGAGGGTCAGTGGCAAACTAAACATAGAAGAAGAATGAAGATGGCTTTGGAGGTTGTGCCTAGGAGGATCCTTTGACGAAACTGAGGAAGTTTATCTCAAAAAAAGATTTATCGTTTGTGGAGTAAGATCCCAGCACTTGTAATCCCAGCAATTTTTGAGGCCCAGATGGAAGGATAGCTTGAGCCCAGGAGTTCAAGACCAGCCTGGGCAACATGATAAAACCTCATCTCTATAAAAAAATACAAAAACAAAAACCCTAGATACTCCCAGCTGCTTGGGAGGCTGAGGAAGGAGGATTGCTTGACCCCAAGAGGTCAAGG